ACGTATGTATCTGATTATTACTAGTCATAATCAGTTGCAGTTGGATCCTTGGCACCTGTGTATGTCTATAAAGTCATTGGGTAGATTTCAGTGGGAATGTTTATCACCTCTACTAATTAGCATAACATAAATTTCCTTGATTCTCCCTCAAATATAATACATTTTTTTAAATTTATTAATTTTTTTTGTGTGTGTGTGTGTCTATCACACAGAACATCCCAAACCATCTTATTCAACTATACACCCACTTCCCAGATGGCACTCTCCCATAGCCTCCCTCCCCCCACTAGAGCCCTTATACTCTGATATCCCTGCTACTGTCTGGTGTGTTGTCAGCACCCCCAGCCATTCCCCACTACTTGCCCTTCTGGTGAATCTAGTCAGCCTATCTAGAGGTCTTTGTTTTAGGAGGGTCAGCTGTTCCTCATCTAGCAGTAATCAGTTGTCAATATTCCTTTAGATAAGATTGGGGTCTGCTGTTCAATTTCCCAGTTCTATGCTGGGTTACTATCTGGGAGTCCCTTTGGCCACCGTGGCCAACAACTCAAAAGAAGGTATTTCCTTTCTGGGATTGTTGCTTGTTATTTAGCCTTTAGCTATGCATATTGACTCTTAAGAAATTATATTGGCCCCTTTAATCTTTGGTTATACTATTCTTTGGAGTGTTTAAGGCCATACAGTTGGCCCAGATAAACCAATTTATTTTTACTCTTAAGGTCATTTGAGGATCTGTTCCTTAGGGGTCACATGGGGTTGGGAGGAGCCCCTGGCTCCTTTCTTTTACCAGTTCTGCCTATGTGAAGATAAGTCAAAGGTCCTACTCGACCATGGCTGGCTTCGCTTGGAAGCATGGAGGAAATGATTCCTGTGTGTTGACCCTCCTCTTTGTAGACTGGACACTGTTTCAAGTCTACCTCGTGGGGTCTCCTCGGCCTCCTTGATCAAGAGGACAGGTGACCACCACAATTACAGGACATTTTGAGAGATGCTCATAGTCCCCTGGAACTAGTCGACCTAGGAGGGCAAAGAGGAAAAGCTGTCCTTTATAAAGTCCCTCTGAACAAGTTATCATAGGCCTCAAAGTATGTCTGTTAAACATTCAAGAAGGTTAGTTCCACCAGTCTGGTACTTTTAATTACTGTGTGTCATGTAGCTAAATCTTGGACAAAGACCAATTGTTCTCAGATAAATCTTACCTAGACATATATTTCTTGATCTGCTATGTATAATTTGTCAGTAGGTTGTAGGAGTAATATGGTTCCCTCTAGTTTTCAAAACTAGCTAGGCATTATTTAATCTATCTCATTGTCTCACCCCTCCATCATGGTTCTCCCACTTAAGGTGTCCCCATTTTCCCCCCTTTCTCCCTTAATAATACCCCTCTCCTACGGTCCTACCTCGCTTGAGCTCCTTCTTTCACTTTATCCCCTAGGTTCCTTGTCTACCCTTCCCTCCCCCCTCCCTTAAAATAACCCAATTTTTAATCCATATCTCCCTTATTAAGGCCTGTTTCCTACTGTTCTTCTCTTTCAGGTTCTTTCTTTTCCTTTACCTCCCAGGCTCCTTTCCATTATCCTGGTTCCTGTAGTTATGTCTGGATACATACTCACTTATCAGGGTTTGGTTCTAGGATCGACATATGAGGGAGAACATATGTCGATTGTTTTTCAGAGTCTTTGTTACTTCACTTAGGATAACAGTTTCTAGTTCCATCCATTTACCTGCAAATTTCATGATTTCATCTTTCTTTACTGCTGAGTAAAACTCCATTGTATAAATGAACCACATTTTCATTATCTACTCATCAATTGAGGGACACCTAGGTTGCTTCCATCTCTTAGCTATTGTGAAAAGAGCAGCAACAAACATGGATGTACAAGTGTCTCTGCAATAGGATGAGTTCTTTGGGTATATGCCAAGGAGTAGTATAACTGGGTCAAATGGTAGGTTCATTTGTAGTTTTTTAAGAGTTCTCCACACTGCTTTCCATAGGGGTTGAACCAGTTTGCAGCCCCACCAGCAGTGGATGAGTGTTCCCCTTTCCCCACATCCTCTCCAACATTTGGTATCATTTGTTTTCTTGATCTTAGGCAGTCTGGGGTAAGGTGAAATCTTAAAGTGGTTTTAATTTGTATTTCCCTAACTATTAGTGATGTTGAACATCTTTTAAGATGTTTCATAGCCATTTTTACTTCTTCTTTTGAGAACTCTCTGTTCAGCTCCTTAGTCCATCTTTTAATTGGATTGCTTCTTGTCTTGGTTCTCTGTTTTTTTAGTTCGTTATGTATTCTGGATATTAAACTACTGTCGGATGTGTCGCTGGTGAAGATTTTCTCCCATTCTGTGGGTTTTCTGGTTGC